ATGATGATGATGATGATGATGATGATGATGATGATGATGATGATGATGATGATGATGATGATGATGATGATGAATATAAAGGTAGATAGATTAGATAGATAGATAGATAGATAGATAGATAGATAGATAGATAGATAGATAGATAGATAGATAGATAGAGAGATGATAGACATTTAAAAATCATACTTTGCAGAGGCAATTATACAGAGAGAGAGAGAGAGAGAAGATGACAGCAATGAGTCAATTTTGATTTATTCCACACACACACACACCAAAAAAATTTAAAGACTTGATCACTAGGTGGATAAGAGGTCACTAAGAAATCTTAATTCTGGAAATAAGATTGGAAATTTTAAAAAAAGAAAACCCTGGAAGAAGGCAAATGTAAACCCTTTTCATATCGCAGTCAAAAAAATTACGTGGATGTGTCCACATAGACCCCAAGAATCCCTCATGAAAAGGGACTTTAGTTTGGCCTCACAACATTGTTTGTAGCAACACAAGCCTGCCATCCATAATGGTTTGATTTCAGAATATTAAATCCTGTTTTCAGACAATACACTGAACCAGCCAACTGCAATTTAGACTAGGATCTGTACTAATTATATCATGTCCATTGTTGGGAAGCCTCATTGAATTATAGCCGTGTATCAATGGAATAAGGAAACGAAGAACAGGCTTTGTGCCAGAATCAGAGAAAGTTTCGTGTGACTCAAGAAAAGCAAATGAACCACTTCACCTTGAAAAACTGGTTATATATGGCTTATAACTTTGCCCACTATTTTATTGCTGGCCTTCCATTAAAGAGTTTTGATTTTGCCATAAACTGCACTAATTGTATTGGAAGTAGTTGACAGGAAAATTTGATAAAATATCCCTCTTGAATCAAAGGAATAGGGAAAAGGTAGGACAGGTCCAACCAAATCATCTACAGTTACTTCAATCAACGTTAAAAAGACAATATGCTCTATGGCTTACACCAGAAGCTCTGGATTCCATCAAGAATATGTTTTATATATTGAAATTAACATCATTTCCTTCCTTCCTTCCCTCCCTTTTTCCTTCCTTCCTTCCTTCTCCTTCCTGCTTTCTCCATCCTTCCTTCCATTTCCTTCCTTCTTTCCTTTCTTCCTTCTTTCATTCCATCCTTCCATCCTTTCTCCCTCCCTCCTTCCTTCCATCCTTCCTTCCTTCCACCCTTCCTTTCTTCACAACCTCCCTTCCTCTTTCTTCCCTTCCTCCCTTCCTTCTCCTTCCTTCTTTTTCTTTCTTTCTTTCTTTCCTTCTTTCCTTCCATCCTTCCTTACCTCCCTCCTTCCTCCCATCCATCCTTCCTTCTTTCCATCCTTCCTTTCTTCACAACCTCCCTTCCTCTTTCCTCCCTTCCTTCCTCTTTCCTCCCTCCCTTCCTTCTTCCTTCTTTCCTTTCTTCCATCCCTCCAACTTTCCTTCCTTCCCTTTTCTTCCTTCTTTCTTTCCTTTCTTCCTTCCTTTTTCTTTCTTTCCTTCCTTCCTTACCTCCATCTTTCTTTCGCTCCCTCCCTCCCTCTTTCCTTCTTTCCTTCCTTCCATAATTTAGAATAACTATAGCCTTTTCACTGAGTTGAGTTTTCAACAGTTACAGGTAGATCTCAATTTACAACAGTTCATTTAGTGACCATTCAAAGTTACAATGTCACAAAAAACAGGTCCGTTTTCTGCTCATTTTTGCTTCCCCCCCCCCCAGCCCCCAGGAGCACTCTATAAGCCTCCTAAAGGCTATGCGTGCCCTTTTTTTTTTGGCAAAAAATAGGCTCGTTTTTGGAGGAGGAGAAGGAGAAGAGGAAGAAGAGGAAGAGGAAGAGGAGGAAGAAGAAGGAGGAGGAGGAGGAGGAGGAGGAGGAGGAGAAGGAAAGGAAGGAAGGAAGGAAGGAAGGAAGAAAGAAAGAAAGAAAGAAAGAAAGAAAGAAAGAAANTTTGCCATCCCGGACTCATGCTATCTGATATGCTGTCTCCACAATATAACATGCCCTGTTGAAAGAAATTAAGAGTGTCTCACACAACTCTACTTTCTATAAATGTTAAAACTATAAATCTAAAAACAATCAATCAAAAATAGCAGCAGCAACAACAACAACAACAACAACAACAACAACAACAACACCTTTGCATCAATGCTGCTATTAAGACATATGTCCAGTTTCAAAAGAGGTTTTCAAAGAGGCCTACTTGAATGTCACAGCCTCTCATATTGTTTTAAAAGGCCAAATGTGGACAGAAAAGTTATAGCCACAATGGAGAACTCCCAGGTTTGGAAATCGGGGCAGTGATGGCATGCTTGCATAACTTGTGGTGGTAGCTGGCAATTCTATTCACTCATAGTCTGACATTATTTTCTATTACTGCATAACATGTCACCACTTGTCCACTAGACCAGGGCTCCCCAATCCCCGAACCGTATATTGGCATCAGGCTGCAGCATACCAGAAACTGGGTAGCTCAAACAAGCGCAGCCCTATTTGTGGGATGCAGGCAGCACATGAAACCACGTCCCCTCTGTGGAAAAATCTCTCTTCACAGAACCGGTCCCTGGTGCCCAAAAGGTTGGGGGCCGCTGCACTAAACATCAGCTGTTCAGAGAATCATCAAAGCATAAAATTATAGTGTTCAAGCCTACATCCATCACTATCTGTAACTTTAAGTGTTATAAATCCAGAGGGATGTGTAGTGACTTTTTCCCCCTGGAGTCAAATAAATCTTTAATTATAGTACAGGCAGCCTTCGGCTTACAAGAGTTTATTTAGTGACTGTTCAAAATTACAACAGCACTGAAAAAAGTGACTTACCACCAGTTTTCACAATTACGACCCTTGTAGCATCCCTATTTATGATGGTTGCAATAACCTGGGGCCACGTGATCTCCTTTTGTGACCTTCTGACAAGCAAAGTCAATGGGGAAGCTAGATTCACTTAGCAACAGTTTGACTAATTTAACAACTATGGTGATTCACTTAACAACTGTGGGCAAGAAAGGTCGTAAAATGGGCAAACTCACTTAACAAATGAAATTTTGGGGTCAGTTGTGATTGTAAGTCGAGGACTACCTGTAATACACTTATATATAAACAACTACAATATATGTGCACATTGCTTTGTACTTACTGTTTTGCCAGTTCCATGGATATTTGTTCTAAAGAATATCCTTTTGTCTCTGGTATACAGATAATGACGAAAGCTAATGATGCTAGGCTCATTAGGGCATAAATGTAACATATCCAGGGTAAGCCAAGTAGGTCTAAAAAGAATAAAAATTGTTTGACTCAGATACTTTAAGGACCCATATTCTTGGACAAACAATCTGAGGTTACCCAAGATTTGCTATAACATACAAATCTTAATACACAGAGTAACAGCAACTACAAAACCAGTTCAACATTGAAAAATGACAAATATGTTTTATTTTCAACAAATAAAAATTACTAGCTTACAAAACAAAACCTTATAGCAGATACTAGAAAGGATATTGTGAAATATACTACTCAGTTGTCATTTCCTTGGACGTAACAAGTAATGACTATTTTCTCTTTTACTTTACTTTCATTCTAAGAGTGATTTTTGTCATATAATACTAAAAATATCCTTCTGTCTACAGAAGTCCTCTAGTCCAACTCCCTGCCTAGAGCAGGAATCCTCATACTATCTCAGACAAATGGTTGTCCACACTTTGTTGAAACCTCTAGTAATGAAGCATCAACAAATGTTTGGACTTTCCCAGATTTCTGGAATTCTGCTCAAATATGCATCAATTCAACTTATTTTTAAAGGACTACATCAGGGGTAGTCAACCTTTTTATACCTACCACACACTTTTATATCTCTATTAGTAGTAAAATTTTCTAACCGTCCACTGGTTCCACAGTAATGGTGATTTATAAAGTAGGGAAATAACTTTACTTTATAAAATTTATAAAGCAGAGTTACAGCTACGGCCCACCATGAAAGCTGGAATGCCCACTAGTGGGCGGTAGGGACCAGGTTGACTACCACTGGACTACACCAAGAGGAGAAAAAGGCAGCAAACTTACTTGTTACAGTCAAAAATGTTGATGAGATAAGGAGATTAACCCCCCAGTTGACGCTTGATGTGAAAGCAATTGCTCTTCCTCTGATCCCTCCAGGAAATATTTCACTTAATACCAACCACGACACTGAAATCAAAAAACAAAATCAATTAACTAGTCAAGTTTCACACTCTTCTACCCTGATTTANCATTGGTTGATTGTTCTCACTGTCAGAAAAATCCTTATTTCTAGGTTGAATCTCTCCTTGTTCAGTTTCCATCCTTTATTCCTTGTCTGGTCTTCAGGTGCTTTGGAAAATACATTAACCCCTTCCTCTCTGAGACAGACCCTCAAATATTGGAACATTGCTATCATGTCCTTCCTGGTCCTTCTCTTTTCTAGACTAGATAGGGGAGCCAGTTTGGTATAATGGTTAAGGCACATAGCTAGAAATTTGGTGAGCTCTAGACCTGCATTAGGTACATAGTTAGCTGGCTGACTTTGGGCCAATCATTCTCTCTCAATCTTAAGAATCTTGCCAAAAACCTCAGAAGCTAATCCAGGCCATCACCAGGAGTACTACTCAGTTAAGGACATTAAAAAAAGTCATTAAAAAATCACTCATTCTTATTAGTTAAATCTAGTGTGTTTTTATTACCAATCTTCCCAAGAGATATAAAATGGATACAGATGTTAGGAGCACAACTGATGCTGAAATTCTGCTGAAATATCTATGCCCAAATTAAATGTACATATTTTTATCCTGTCATAATAAGCTGCATATGATAGAAATCAAGTCAGAAAAAGTGTGAAACATTTAATCTAAGACAAATAATGCAACTGAAAAGGACCTGGATATTTAAATGAGGCTAATAAGAGAGGGATTATGTTACAGAATTATAAGAAGTCTAGTAATATTATGTTTGACTCAAGAGCCGATTGGGATAATGCAGCAACAATGCAGAAGCTAACTAGATCTTTAAAATTCATTGCTAGATGTTCTCTTTTTTCCTGCTCTCTTGGCAAAAGGACAGTGGAACTTTTGTTTTTCCACTAGTGTCGGAGTTAGCAAAATCTACAAGATGCCTTCTTGCCCATTTTAATCTACTTCCTCAGATGTCCCTGACTGTGCATATCTTGTATTTCAACAATCTTGCTGGATACTTCATCTTCATCTGCTGAATTGTTTCTTTCATTATGAAAAATAGAAGATTTGCTATCCTACTTTCTGTCTCTATTCTCCTACATTAAAGGGTTAAAACTGAAATAATCAGAAGTGTTCCCTTTGGGATTGACCATGCTAATTAATCACAATATTGATTCCAGTGGTTCAATGCTTTTTCATAGAAATAGATATTGTTGCCTGTTCCTATTTCTTCTGCTTTTACTTATCTTTTTGTCCCATTCTTCTAGGTAATTCTTTTGATTATTGCAGATGTTCAATAAACATTAAGGTACGTGAGTAGTGAATGTGCTTGCACTAATCTGAATACAGAATACAGATGTTTGGGACATCTTGGCCCAGCAAATGTTCCGATTTTTATTTCTCATAATTTAGCCAACATAAACGCATATGTTACTATCATGTACTAATACATTCAGGATAATCTCAAAAAGATGAAATTCAGATTCATCAGAAAAATGTATAGTGGTATTTCTTTTATATGTATTTCTTGTATAGTGGTATTTCTTTTATAAATATTATAAAATATTCATTTTACTAATAAATAACTACTTCTTTTATATAGCTTCTGAACCATCATGTTAAAAAAACCTTAGACCAAGGAAATGGAAAATTTACCATTACCAAACTGTCTTTGAGATGTGAGACAGTAATACCAATTAAACTCTTTCCTGGGTATATTTGCAAAGAGTTATCAGAAACAGCAGCTGCTTATAAGAAGGACCCTTGAGGCTTGTTTCTTCTGAGTAAAATAGCTGATTGGAGTAAAAAAAATTCTGAGGAAGCTATATTTATATTATTGCCACAAAGTGGCAATTTTGTCAGGAAATGTAGAACTGGGTATACTGTTGTTTGTGAGTGACGTTTCAAAATGAACAGAAAAAAATAAATAAATAAAGCCAGCTATTGTTCTACCTTGACTTAGAGATATATTTCTAACTTGATCCAACTATACAAGAAGGAATTATCAACACGGGGCTTTTCCAGATGTTTTGTTGATTGTTAACAGCAAGCAGATTTTTTTTTCTTTTACAATGCCAAGACAATACTAAGACATACCCTGCATTGTTTCTCAGAAATTCAACAAAAGTCAAGGTTGAAATATTTTCCTTCAATTCTTTGTTACAGAGAGCTCAAATTTTAACAACTTTGAAAAATCCAACTCTCTCTAAATATAACATCATAAAAGACATATAGTTTTGTGTAGTGGTTATGTTCTGCCTAGAAATAAGGAGACTGGGAATTCTGTAGTACTGCTTTAGACATGAAAAACCATCTGGGAGACTTTGAGCCACTCACTGTCTCTCAGCCCAATTCATTCACAGGATGTAGTATTAGGTATGTTTGTCACCTTCAGTTGTATATATAAAATACAATGTAATTTAACCTAGCAAGCAATTAATCTATGACAAACAAACTGGTCTAATCTCTTGGATTCTCATTGTAGAAGTGAGAGCTTTAGTTTGGGACAAGGAGAAGAACATTGGCTTCCAGGCTATTTCAATACTAAGTGAATTTAATGGGGTCTCTCCTTTTTAAAACATTCTCTTATATATTCTATTTATATGACACGTGACCCATCAAAACCGCGGTAGACAAAACCGTGCTCGACGAAAGCACGTACCTGACGTCATCAGCAGCGCGACGAAAAAAATTAAAAATAAATTAAATTGAAATTAAAATAAAATTAAAGCAAGCCGATTCCCATAAAGGTAAGGGTTAGGTTTAGGGTTAGGGTTAGGGTTAGGTTAAGGGTTAGGGTTAGGGTTAGGGTAAGTGTTAGGGTTAGGTTTAGGGTTAGGTTTGGGGGGGTTAGGGTAAGGTTTTCGCTTTAATTTTAAATTTACCGCTCACAGCGCGATGTTTTCGTCGCGCTGTGATGATGTCACGTACGCGCTTTCATCGAGCGCGCTTTTGTCTACCGCGGTTTTGTGGTGGAACCATATGATGTACACAGGATTTGTGCTTTGCTTCAATAATTTTTACTACTAAAATATATTAGAGTATTTTAAGAAGAAAGTTCTGAGGCGGCAAAATTCATTGTCTCATTAATATGTTTTATATCCATTTTGTCTAATCACTAGATGTTTGTGAAATGGAATCACATAAATAGGGCAATTTGTGTGAATTTCCCCCACACTTACTCGGCAACAGTTTGGGGCTTGGGCACATAGAGAGATGCTCTGCAGGCCATTTATGACAGTGTATGGTTGATCTTAGAGGAACAGAGTGAAATTAATTTAGACTTAATCAAGGAGATTGCGAACTGCAATTATATTACATAATTTTCAAATTAGTTAGCCTTTGTGTCCTGAAAGAAAATCATGTTATTTCTGGCTTCTCTTTATTCCATTTAAAATTCTGAGAAATTTGCACTTCAATGCTTGTTTACTGCAGAATAGCATGGTGCTATGGTCTAACATATCAATTACTTTCTTAAATACAGACTCTCTCCACACAAATATATCTCAGCACTTTTCATTAGGCCTCTATGATGCTGCCTTTATTTCATCTCCAGTCCATGACTGAGCCAGCTTATGTTATTCTTAATTGTACTGGTATTACTGATGAATCTTCATCTTTAGCCCATAACATTGAATAATAGTGTAAGTGTGTGAGATCCATTAAATTTCGTCACCCTCTATGTTGGAAGCAAAGTCAGGTGACTCAGTAATGGGTAATAACTCAAGGATGGATATAGATCCATATCTATATCACCCACATAGAGAATGGTGAAATGTAATGGATCTCACACATTTACACTACTATTGAATGAGTCAATAATTAGTAAGGATTAGTTAATAGCATTTTAACTCAGTAAGTGGGCAAAAGCTCATAGAAGTCTATATCTAAAGGAACTTAAAAATATACTGCTGAATATTTGTAGTAATTTATCTAAATTTGATCAAGTTAATGTCACAGTTCAAGGTGTCAAATTCAATTTCAACCCTGACACATCGGGGTTGTTTTTGACCTCAGGGAGACAGAGTGGGCTTGGCTAGTATAGGCATGGCCAGTTCAACATCACTCATGTGCCTGTGGTATGACAGCTTCCTGCAACCCTCTGCCAGCGAAAACAGAGATCGGAAGGGCAGTCCTTCCAAGCTCCATTTTTGCTGGCAGACGGTTGCAGGAGGCCATTGCAGCTGAAAATGGAACTCACCAGCCCGTTTTCTCTGGCAGAAGCACTGCAGGCTGGTCATTTGCTGTTTTCAGGGCAGCCCTGAGGGCCAGATCTAAGCACCCCATGGGTCGGATTTGGCCCCCAGGCCTTGAGTTTCATACCCGTTATAGTTCATTGAAAAAACTAAAACTAACAAATTATTTTTGGTTTATAGACTTTCTATGAACTTTAATAGAGATAAGAAAACTTCTCTTTTATAACCTGTCATCTCTTAATTCAGGTAGAGTCGGGGCAATACTATAGAGCTGAACATTTTACAGTGCCAAGAAAGTACTGAGAAATATCTTGTGTTATCTCTCATAAATTCAACACACATCTAAACAGAAATATTTTTTTATCAGTTGTTTGTTATGTAATGCTCAAACTAAGAATCCTAAAAATTTCAGGTCTAAAAAAAAACTGCTCTAGTAAGCAATCAATCTGTGACAAATGAATATTTGTCTGATTTTCCCATGGCTTTTCATTGCAGAATGAGAATTTACAGTTCTAACAGTTACTTCAGAGATGAAACAAAATGTGTGCTGAATCACAACAATTTCTATGTAGCCTATTATCTTGACACAAATAAGTGTTCCATCACCTTTTCCTTGTTGCTTAATAAAAGAAGATAACCTCCATTCCAAAATCAGTTATTTTTCTCACCCAATTTCTCAGAGGTATATTTGAAAATATGTTGTGATCGCATTTACACTTGGATGTAAAATTCTGTGAAGCCAATGGATTTACTTCCTAGTAATATGGCTAGGATTGCAATGGAAAGAACTTAGTGCTGCTTCATT